GTGTTGAGTACCTGGCTCTTGCCTTCTGAATTCCTGGCTGTTACAGGAATTCATGGAGAGAACCAGCAAATGGGAGCTTTCCCTCTCTGTCTGCTTCCTGTAACTCAGTTGAAAAAATAGACACATTGTGTGAAAATAAAGAGAATAATACTGTATGAAATTATTCTGCATTTAAAATTATACATTTCTTATTAAAATTAATGGCAGTTAGTTTTGTATATTTTATGCTACTGAAATCATCTGTATTTTTATTCTAAACAACATTGATGTGCCCAGCGGCATGGCCTAGCGGCTAAACTCCTCGCCTTGAACGTGCAGAGATTCCATATGGGCACCGGCTCTAATCCCATCAGCTCCACTTCCCACCCAGCTCCCTGCTTGTGGCCTGGGAAAGCAGTCGAAGATGGCCCAAAGCGTTGGGATCCTGCACCCGTGTGGGAGACCAAGAGGAAGTTTCTGCCTCCTGGCTCCTGATTGGCACAGCACCGGCCATTGCAGTCATTTTGGGAGTGAATCATTGGATGGAAGATCTTCCTCTCTGTCTTTCCTCCTCTCTGTATATCTGATTTTGTAATAAAAATAAGTAAATCTTTTTAAAAAGCATTGTTTCTATTCAGTTATATCTGTTGAGATATACTTATTTTTCCTCTTCAGTATGAAATATTAAATGCATGTTTGTAAAGTATAAAGAAAAATAATACATATAATGAAGCTCCTACAAGTTTGTTCCAATTAATAGTTAAGTTTATGTTGAAATCTGCACATAACATTTTTTATAGTACACATTTCCAATGTATTTTTGAGGGTTTTCATGCTTCATAAGACCCTAAGTATTTAGGTTAGGAAACAAAACACTTTGAAAATTTGAAGCCCAGAGATTTGGATAAGTTTCACATCTGGATGAAAAAATATGTATTAAAGTGTATATATGTTTGTTATAAGTGTTATATTTTAGTGAGAAACAGAAAACTCAACATGAAAGTTTAATCTACTGGACAAATACACCTATTTATGTATATGTGACGTGATATGCATGTCAGTATGTACTTTTTTATTCAAATAATTAAACTTGTTAATTGTGTTATTCTACTATCTAATACCACTATTTACTTTTTGAGTGCTTGATCAATGATTTAGAGAAAGAGGCATCCAATAATTTCCTACCAACGTACATGTATCTATCTAGTATTATAAACTTTTCTTTTTGCTTTGTATATTATGTTAAGTAATCAAGTTTGGAATAATTATGTACAACAAGAACTTAAATACTATGGTTTTTGTTGTTGTTTGCTTACATATTTGTTCTTTTTATATCTCCCTGGAATATATATTTTTATTTCAAATATTCTGTCTATATTTTGAGCATAGCTGTTCTAAACATCACTTAGCTACATTTATAATCTAATGTGAAGTTTTTTGTCATTTGATAAAGCTGTAATTCATTACACTTGGAGGTCCCATTGTGTTGGATTGTTCCTACTACCTCATAGTATAATTTCTGATATTTCTGGTTAGTTTATGTCTATGTATTTATTTATTTAAATTCTTGTTTTACGTTGATTTTTGTTTCCAACTCCATGTTTTCCCTGCTACTGTTCTGGATATCATAGACTGTGTTTCAATTTTTTTTGATGGTCAAATGGTAACTTTTATTTTGATTTCTGCATATAGTCACTTGTTCACAGAACCTCAGTAAGTTTCCTTAGGACAGCCATGTTTCTGTAGAGCTTGCTAGTTTTCTGAAATACTGTTCCTATTTCATCTTTATCCCTTCAGGATTTTGTATGCTTTCTCTCCAGCTTCAACATGCATTAGAAGTTATTTTGTAAAATATTTTCTCCAAAATTCCGAGTATTTTCAGTAAATAAGGTTTCAGGATATTTATTCCCCACTATGAGCTTGTCAATTTTTCATAGTCTAAAAAATTATAGTTTGTATAAATTTTCCATTCAGGAAGTGTACAGAAGCTATTACTTAGTAAATAAGTCATAACTATCTAACCTGTTCATTTTTTAAGATTTATTTTATTTTTTATTGGAAAATCTGATGTACAGAGAAGAGGAGGAGAGACAGAGAGGAAGATCTTCTGCCTGTTGATTTACTCACCAAGTGGCTGCAATGGCTGGAATTGCACCGATCCAAAGCCAGTGACCAGGAGCCTCTTCCAGGTCTTCCACACGTGGGTCAGGGTGCCAAGACTTTGGGCAGTTCTTGATTGCTTTCCCAGGCCACATGCAGAGGGCTGGTTTGGAAGCTGGATGCTGGGATTAGAACTAGTGCCTACATGGGATCCTGGTGTGCACCACATGATTACTTAAGTCGCTTGGCCACCGCGACAGGCCCTAACCTGTGCATATCTAATACTTTACTGTTTGGAAGAAGATAGGTATAATTTAGAGAAATGCTAATAATTTTATATATGATTAAATGCTAAGAGATTTCAATAAAGCATTATATCAGTGATCAATGCCCTTGTTTATGTATGTACTCAGAAACACACATAAATTTATCATACAAAAATTTCATGAGATATCCTTTTGATTGAGGTGTATAAGATATGTAAGAGTGTATTTTTAACTTTGAAACACAAGGAGGGGCTGGTGTTGTTGCTCAGTACAGTAAGCCACAGCTTGGGAAGCCCGTGTTCCCTATAACAATGCCATTTGGAGTGGTGGCTTCACAACTTCGGATACAGTTTTCTACCCATGCATGTTGGGAGGCAGCAGATGATGGGTCGAGTGCTTCTCCCCTAACCGCCCACCTGACAAACTCAAATGGAGTTCTGGGTTCTGGCATTGGACTATTCTATCTCTGCTGCTTTAGCCATTCAGGAGTGAACTAGAAGCTGAAAGATTTCTCTCTCTTGGCCTTTTAGGTAAAGGAAAAGAAGTGTTACTTTTAAAAGAAAAGCACAAAGAGGCTCAGGCTTCTAAACCATCATCTGTAGGCATAAAGTATAGTTTTATCTGAGTTAACTGACTGATTCACAGCCTAATTTGATCTGCCATCAACTGCTGTAAATAAGTATTCTAAGAATATATCACACTCATGTTTTACACGTTATCTAGGATTACTCTGGCTACAAGCGTAGATGCATTGCAACAGAAATCATATATAAAGTCTACAGTGTCTAATGAGGGGCAAGCTTTTGGCTCAGCCTTGAAGCCTCTGGGGGCAATTGTATTCCATATCAAAGTAGCTGAGTTGAGTCTAGGTGTCATTTTTATTGCACCTTCCTTCTAATGCATACCCTGTGAGCCCATAGATAATGTCCAGAGTGCCTGGTTTTTGCCAAGAGTTCCAGGTTTCTGGTTTGTGCCTGGCTCAATTCCGGTTATTGCAGACATTTGGGGAGTAAACTATCCTGTGAAAGATCATTTATTTGTGCTTTCTTTCACTCTCTCCCTTGCTATCTGCCTCTCAAGTAAATGTGAAAATAAATAAGGAGACATTTACTGGATGTTTGATCAATACTCATACTAAATTATGGTTTATATTATAGAAAATTATAGAGAAACTCTGGCTTTACCTAGCTTTTCTGTCTCATGTGTATTTACTTAGATTTGATTTAGTAAATCTCATAACAAATGTTTTTCATGTACTGCATGTATGCTTGGAGTTCGTTTTCTGTTTCTTTGATTGGAGGTATCTTCTTGTTCCTATTGCTCAATCATTTCTTTAATGATAGCTCTAGTATTTCGGTATGATTTTGCATAACATTTGAAATATGACATCCAAGATTGTTTCTACTAATGTGAGTCTAGATTAATGTTACTAGCACTGTACAAAATAATAGGGGAAGGTCTATGGCTTAATAGTTAAGTTGCCAGTTGAGACCCTCACATCCCCTATTTCAGTGCCTGGGTTTGAGTACTGGTTCTTGACATCAGTTCCAGCTTCCTTCCAATGCAAACCATGGAAGGCAGTAAGTTGTGTCTCAGGAAAGTAGGTGTCTGACACCTGTAATAATAGCTCTGGTTCAAGGCCAAACCCTAGCTGTAAGTGAGCATTCAAATGAGTGAACCAGCAGTTGGGAGCTCTGTCAGCATTCCTGTCTTTGTTTGCCTCATGAATAGATTATTTTAAAAATTTAACAGATATAATAGCATTTTGTTAAATTGGTCAGAGGTTCTTGCATTCATTAAGTATTTTGTATAAGCTGAGGTAGGACTTAGACATTAAACTGTGTTACTTGCTAGTGCATGTATGTGTGCTTTAATTGTGGAGGTTCAAATAAAAGAGGGTCAATTGGTGAGCAGGAAGTAATTACTGAATTTCTGCTTATTCAGAACTATTAGATGCTAAAAGGAAAGATATAATGAGATCTCAATGCTTTAAATGCTGCCTTACTTGGATGTAACTTGATTCTATTTCCATTGAGTGCCAGTTCCCTAAAGTTATGTTACATGTAGGCTGTCAAGCTAAACTCTTAATAATTGCATTCATGTACTCAGTCCAGGAAATTACTTCCATCCAGCAAACTCCCAAAGAACACTAGAGTCCAGCAAACTAGCTCACACATGGATGCATTTTTTAGCCATTTCTCAGGAGTTTCTCTTTTGGTGGAATAGCTAGATAGAGGAAAACACTCTGAGTTTACCAAGCCAATACTTCTGTACTTTTGGGAATTCCCTAGTTGTCATAATATTCTATTCTAACCAAGAATGGTTCTATTTGTAGAAATTTAGGATTGAAAGACTTGGATTAATGAAAAGAAGAGGCATAGCCGTAGATTTTATTATTATTATTTTGTGACATACCTGACTATCTGAAAACTTTCATGGAAAGTAGAATAAAAAATTATATTGATACAAAAATTAAAATCAACACACACGTATGGAAAGCAGTATTAGTACTAGAGTGATACATGCTAATCTGTTATTTTTGGAGGTAAGGTTAGTGGAAGAAGGTGGAACAACCGAATGTTTTTTTTTAGTTAAAATAACTATCAAGCATTTCCACTGTTTACTTAGTTTGCTGCCATTTTCTCTTTTGCCCAGGAGATTGCATCAGCAGTTTGAAAGTTACAAGGAACAAGTGAGAAAAATAGGGGAAGAAGCACGGCGTTACCAGGGCGAGCACAAAGACGATGCTCCTACGTGCGGAATCTGCCATAAAACAAAGTTTGCTGATGGGTGCGGCCATCTCTGTTCGTATTGCCGCACCAAGTTTTGTGCCAGATGTGGAGGCCGCGTGTCTCTTCGATCAAACAACGTAAGTATCTCACAGAAGTGAGTGGTGCTGTGAATGTGCGTAAAAATCATTAGTTCTCCCAAGTGTATACAGGCATGTTAGAAAGAAGAGATACGCATAAACAGGAAAATTAATCTTTTCCTTCCCCATTTTTCATGTTTCGTATTAAATTGATGTAGTATCATAAAGATGAAAAATAACTAGTGGAGGTTCTTTCCAAATACATGCACCTTAACGAATGAGTCCTATTATCAACCAGGGGCGTATATGGGAAAGAACACTTATTTTCTGAAGAATGCAGTAAATGTACATTCAGTATTCTCATGAATTATAAAACGCATGAGAATTGGTATGATCATTTTTTCTTATAAAATGCTACATTTAGCTGCTACAACATTAGTTTTCAAAATGATTGAAGGTAAAATGTATGTCATTAATGTTAACTCAAAATGCTATATTACATTGACTAACCTTTTTCAGGACAATTTCGGATTTACTGTCACACTAAAGACACATAGTGCCAAACTTATTTCATGAAAATTGTGTGCATTTTTAAATAGTATATCAAATCCTATTTGATGTGAGATTTCTCCTTTTCGTTTTTTTCTCTATGAAATGTATTATCCTCTAGTTTTATATTTGGTGTAAGTAAAAGCCATCTATCTGCTTGAAATAAATAGCTCTTGATTTCTTATTAGTAGAATGATTCTAAAAAATATTTAGTTCAGTTTACATATCCATGTTGTACTTTATCATATCCCATATGTTAGCACATATAATTAATTCTAGAAAAATATGGGTCAGCTTTTTTTTACATAGTTCTGTAGCATAATATTAAATGGTTGGGAATTCTCATATACCTAAACAAACATGAAAGCTTTAGGCACTCTCAGTGTTTTCCAAGTTTGGAAAACCACAATTTTAATTGCAGTTAAAATTAATATAAGCCTTCCAGATAACATTATGTTCTTTAGTAATCTGAGCTCTGAGCAGGATATCCTAGAATTCCCTTCAAATGGAATTGAAGCTCTTTGAGTGATACAGTTTATACTTTAAGATGAGACTATTTTTCCATCTGGCAATAAGCTCTCTGGACAACAGTTGTATTATCAGTAAAACTAGATAGTATGAATTATCTTGTATGGATATTACTAAAGTTAAATAAAAATAAGTAAAACCTAGTCTCATATAATATGTATACTTCATTTCTTTTGGGGTTCTATTGTTATGATTGCATAGATTTTCTTTTTCACTCCTAAAAGTGATTCATTAACTATAAATCTTAATTTATAACCTTAAGGCATTTATAAACAAAGTAAGGTAGTAAGATAGCTTTTGGCATGTAGAAAGTTCACAAGGTTTACTTATCAGTCTCCCCCTTTTGTCCAGTATTCCTAGATGAACTAATTAGTGTACACAATGTCTAACAACCCTATGGTGAAGACATAGCTGCTAGCAGTGAACAAGCAGGTGCCTGTTCCTGAGCGCTTGATGGGACGGAGCACCCACAGATATTGAATGCTATAGCCTTCCCATTACAGCTTTTAGGCAAACCAATTGCAAAATTGTGAACTATTGATCAAATAAAATCATTAGGGCCAAGCTCAGCTTATAAAATCGGGAAAATGCTTAAAGCGAATTGAGCTGGGAAAGTGTTGATGCTTTGTAAAAAACATACAAACCTATAATAGCCTGGGTTACTAAACCCATCCAAACTTGAAAAACAGAACAAATTGAAAGCACAGTTAAGTATTTTGTCTTGAGCATTGAATTAAAAAATACATAAACTGTCTTTCCTCTGATATAAATATTGAAATATGTATCACAAATGAACATTGTTTGTTTCTCTTCCAGTTTTATTTACTAAAAATAGTTTCTGTTCCAAATTTGTGACTATAAAATTATGACTAAAAATATTTTACAATAATTTAAATCAAATTATTCCTACAATTTTGGATTCTTAAACATTTCAAAAATAGGTGGACTACACGTGGTAGTAAGGTAATCTTCCTTTCTGAAGAATATTTGGAATTCAGATTTACTCATTGTAATTCTAAAAATTTATCGAACTATATTGTTCACCTCTTATTTAAAGTAAAGCAAGGCCCAGAAGTGCATTTTCATGGGTATTTTTAAGAAAGAGTAAACACGAGCTTCCCAAAATACCTGGATTTTAGCACTTTAAAAATAATTTGTTTTTCTTGTAACAAATTACTTATCTGTGGCTGATTTTTTTCTTCTTTTTTCTTCTTTCTCTCCTCTGCTTCCTTGGATGCTTTCCCAAAGGAGGACAAAGTGGTTAGAATCCATGCTTTTTTTTCTATAATTGCTATCATGTTGTTGTGAACTTTATTGAGTCAATGTTTGCACCTATTGTGGTTAATCATTGTGTTTCAAAAATTAAGTTTCAGGAGAAGCTCATTCCTGGTTCTTATATAGATAAAAATAAGGTGAACATCTATACCCATTATAGAATTTTAATAACCTCTTTAATAGGTAAAAGTTGAATTAATGAGGACACTGACATTTTCATCTAATTTATAGCAGTATGAACTCATCAGTCTTTTTTAGTTTTTTGAATTTTGACAGTTAGTCCATCTGCTTTCAGGAACAGCAAACTCATGGGTTCTGCCTTGCTCAGCACTCATTAGATGCATAAGCAGATGATTTTAAAACTTTATTTCAGGAAGAATGACGGTCGTGACTTAGTGGAAATAATGGATAAAATTCAAATCATGAGCTCAAATATAATTATATTTCTAGCAAGCACAAGTAGCAGAGCTGTCACAGTGAACAAAGATTTCCCCTTTCTTCTCTCTCATGCATAGAAATAACAAGGAGGTAAAGGTCACTTTGAGCTGCTATTAGCTGGAGAGACCACTGGGATTGTGGCTGACAAAACAATTCCAGGTGAAACTTCACTCAGCTGCTCTTTTGGAGGTGCTGCACACCTTCTTTGGTTGTAAATTAAAACATAGTTTAAATCTTCAGTTCTGTATTGCATTGCTTAGTTAGCAAGCATTACATGAAAATAATGCACATCTGTATTATTAAACCTGATGCTAGCATATGTTCATTTTTTTCTTGTGAAAAAGAAAGTATGTCGAAAAATAATTTATTTTGTTTTCAATAAAGTTTTTACTTCCACCTTTGGTTGTATATAAGATCCTGACAGAATATATTATTTTCATGCAGTCATGTAGTGCTAGAAAAAGTAAAGCTAAAATATCCTCCTGTAGTTTCATGAATATTTTGATTTGGCTGCCTCTACATTTACATGTGGACATCATATATTCCTTTAGAGACTAAAGGCACAAATAATTAATAAAGTTGGCCTTGTGCAAACTTGATGGTAAGACTAGGTATTCCTGCACACTTGGGCAGATTTACTGTGTCTTTAACAGTACTTTCCCTGATGGCATGGTATTAGCAGTGATTATCATTATAGACCATATCATGAAAACGTAGATGGATTTTATAGTTACCAGACCCCCCCAAAAAAAACTGAAGTGTAAGCACTGTAAATTGCAATCACTTTGAATTATTTTTTAAAACACATACTTTAAGCATAAAGTCATATTTCTTTGAAATAATCTCCTTAGATAATTGAGGAACTTCAATGAATTGCCTTTCCAGTCCAAGGGTACTGTAACCAGATTTTTGTACAGTCATCTTCAAGAGAATAACTAAGTATTAAGCAAAATACTGCATTACTCATCCTTCCCTTATTCCTCTGACCTCTATTTTCAGTAGAAACATGATAAACAAGTGTGTATATATGTGTTTATGTGTGTTGATATAGGAAGAGCAATAAGAATGAGTAAAGTTTTATGAAGTAAATCTTTATCTTGATTGATATAACAGACAAGTCTATGTAGTCTGTAAAATTGGTGAGGAAAATTGATGTTCATACTTTATGTTACATTATATATAAACCAAAGAATATCTAATTTGTAAATATGCCCTTTATTAAGTCTAACAAAAATACTGATTATTATTTGCTGTCCAGCCTTATTTTAAGATGTCACCATTAGCTCAAACCACTTTAATTGATCATTTGTGTTGTACATATTGTGGACTGGATAGACAGCCTTACCTGAATTTGCTCCAAATTCTTGTTTCTGTGTGAGAGAAGAACTAAAAGCAGAGATAAGGACAGAGGGCAAGATTGAAAACAGGATTTATGCAAAGAGATTGTACAATTGGAAGTGCATGGGGGTGACCTCCTCTGAATGGAATCTTTTGGTGCTGGTTCTTGCTCACCCAAGTTCAGGTTTTTCCCTTTATCCAGAAGGAGGTAGTGCCCTAACTAAATATAGAGTGGAAAGAGTTTGAGCATGTGATGATGTTTAGGGAGGTTTCATGGCACGTCCGTGTGGATCTTAGTATACGCACGCTCATCATGTGTTCATCAAGATGTTTTCTGCATTATGCAAAGGGCCAGGGGCATCATGGAAAAATGAGTGTATGGATAATCTGTAAGGGGGTGGGGTTTGAGTAGTGTGTAGCAAAGGCACAGAGTAGCTGGAAGCTTCTCAGCTTCTTTACTCACTGGCTAGCTCCCCACTTGGCCCATATCACTTGGAAGATTGTCTTCTGGATTTTAAATAAAATTGTAAGGACTCATTTTGCAATGAGTGGCAGTTTATATAGTACAATATTTTGTATGAGTGTACTCCCTCGTTAGTAAAATTATGATTTCTTTTTACTTCACTGAAAGCCATCTTTTAAGCCTAACTATATAGGGATACTGTGAAATTCCATTCTCCATAGCCTATTTAAATTGCTTTTGTCTTTGTTGCATTTTCCATTTGGTAACAGCACATTGAATTTAGATAACTGCCTTGGTAGTATTAAAATTTGAGTTGAGTTAAGGCAGCTGAATTGAATCCTCCAACTTGAATTTGTTTGGGAGTTCCTATAACTTCCCATTGTTATTTATCTTTGTGGATGAGGATGGTTTGCTTGTAAAAATTGCATATAATAAGATGACTTATTACACTTTAGTCTATATGCATTTTCACGAAAGTGCAGATTTTATAAGAATATTTAATAATAAATCCCCATTACTCTGAAAAACAGATACTCTCACTTTATAATTCTTGCAAAATGCAAAAGCTTCCAATCTTTTGAAGACTATGTGTAGAAGTATATTTTGGGACCCACACAGTGGTGTAGCACACTAAGCTTCTCCCTGCAGTGCCAGCTTGCCAGTTTAGATCATGACTGCTCCACTTCTGATTGTGCTCCATGCTGGCAGCTGGGGAAAGCAGCGGAAGCTGACTCAAATCCTTAACCCTAGTACCCCTGGGTGGAGAAACCCTCTTTGCGTTCCTGGGTTGCAAAGAGTAAAAACCAGCAATGGAATCTCTCTCTCTGTTTCTCTCCTTCTGTCTGTATAACTCTGCCTTTTCAATTAAAGTAAGCATTTTTTTAAAAAGGTATATATTTATACAAAATTAATAATCATGCACTGTATTTGCAGAGTCACAGTTATAAAAACTACTTTTTTGAATTATGTGTGAAGAAACTTTGTAGAAAATCCATAAAAGGTAGGGTGGAGTAGGATGCGATAAGACATTGCAAAACAAGTTGGACACTGACATTATTGTATAAGGTGAGTGTTAGGAGGACTATTTTCTAACAATATAAAATTTGCTCTTCTCTTATACACCAAGTGATTTTTTTTTCCTTCTCGTTGAGATTATAAAAGCAACCAAGTCAGTGGAATCAGAATCATACAATAGTTATCTGTGTGATTGAATTAAATATTTGTATCGGATTGAATGCTTCTTATATGAACAGATCTCAGAGTTATCCAGATTTCATCCAACAAAGTGAGAGGCTTGAGTTGATAATTTTGTAACTTTATTCTTTTGAAAAAAATATTAGAGTTTGCCTAGGATCTCTTGTTTTATTTTTTTTTCCCCCTCTATTTCCTAGATGCTTTGATGAATTGGCAGAAATGCTATTAGATTCTTCACAGGAAGACAATAGAGAAAACCATATAGAAAAGGTTGTAAATATAGATAAATGAAGCAATATGGAAATATTAAAGATATATCAAGAGGAGAAGCTAAATTGGGAAATTTGGTCAGTTTCTATAAGTGTCTTTTCTAATTTATTGAGTTTACACTAGAAGAAAAAAAGTATCAAGGTGCAAAACTTTTATGTGAGACAATTTGGAAAACTTTTTTTTTCTTAAAATACATTTTCAGAATTTGATGTAGTGTGTTGTCAGCGTAAAGGTCTTGCACTTAGCATTGATGTTATCACACTTTTGCGAGATTCAATGATTGTTGGGAGGTTTGGAGTCCTGCTTAGTCTTGCTTTTGCTCCCCTCTCCCTTCCATCATCTTTTAATGCACATGAAATACCTGTTTCAGAAAAAGCAAGATTTTTTCATGTTAAATAAGGATCTTTTGATCCTTATCTAAGATAACTAAGGAGGATGCACTAATGTGTAGAAAGTTAGTCTTTTCTAGCATAAGGAAAGGCTATGGTGGGAGCACTTTTCATAAAAAAGAGGACCATACTGTAAACCATTTCCTGATATTTTGTGAATATAGATAGTCAAATTTCCTGTTTATACACCTAGAAGCAGAATTTATTGATTATACAACTTTGTATTTACCATTTATTGGTTTCATACAATTGTTCTCCCAAGCCATTGCACAATAGTGAATCAGGGTTTCAGTTTTTGCCCACTTTTGTCAATAATTGTTATGGTCTTTTTGATAGCTACCATGTTGCATAGAAAAGTGAAGTATCATGTTCTCATTTTCACAAGGCTGTTTTAAAGTTGAAATTATTGCACAAACCTGATACTTCCAGTGACTCACTTTGTGCATCTTACATAAGCATATTTCTAAATAAGCTATTTGTTTTGAATAATGTTTCTTAAATGTTGTCATATTATGAGTATTAGAATCAATTTCTTTTCTCAAAATTCTTTATTGCTCTGTTAGAACTGTATAGTATTTATTAATGTTTACAAGTAAGCCAAAGCCAGAGGAATATGGCATTTATTATAACAGAATGCACTGAGTTAACTAACTGTGCATTGCAAAGTGAAAGATTTTAAATTATATATATATAAAATTTAAAATACATATAGTATGTACATATATATATTTATTCATGTACTTACTTTCCTTTATTTGAAATGTACACAGAGAAGATCTGTCTATTGGTTAATTCCACAAATACTTGCAGTGTCTGGGGGCTGGGCCAAATCAGGGAATGGAACTCAATCCTGATCTCCGCATGTGGGTGGCAGGGACTCAAGTACTTGAGTC